CGCAGGACCTACAGGATGATAGAGACGTTGGTGAGCAGGTAATGCAGGAAATAAAGAGAAGTAGTGGTCGGAAGCCGAGGGTATAATCACGTGCACGGCGCTGTGGCAACTGCGGAGAGACTGGTCATAATACGCGCACCTGTAATATTATAGAGGAAGTATCTGAGGAAGAAATTTCTGAATAGTGTTTTTTAATTAGAGGCGTTGTGGTAGAGTTCTTACAATTTCAATCGCGAGTGTAGAAAATTTTGGCCGGTTCGCTTGTTTGGCCGGTTCGCTATACATGCACGTTAATATAATTATATTATAAGAGAAGTAATAGAAGTTAGAGTTAGAGTTACTTAGATAAGAATAAAAGTCGATAAGGCCGGAGTAACTAAAATAGATATAACTTTTTAAAGAGGTAGCTAGTATTCTTTTATAATTTTCTAGTTAGTATTAAAGATAATCTCCTAGCTTAAGACTTACAATACTATATCTACTAGAGTAAATAAAGCGTTCGATTTAGATACTTATAACCTTTATAAAGGTCTAGATAGTACGAATAGTATACTATTCACTATAATAATTAAAGTACCTAGAACCGAGTTTATAATTAATTCTATCATCTTCTTTAGAGGAATTAATCTTACGAATTATCTTAGTAGTAAGAAGAATAAAAGAAGAAATAAGTATTAGTTAACTTTCTAATATCTTATAAGAAAATAGATATATTAGACTAGATTATATACTAATTTCTTTAGAAAAATAGGCTTCTTTACTACTCTTTTACCTTATAAAATAATATTACAAAATCCCGAATTAATACTAATGTATCTATTATTCGATATAGTAAAGTTCTTAAATTAAGGCTAGTAGAATATACGATTATTTCATATCTTTTACTATATCTACGAATTCGTATCTAAAATCGAGGTTATAATAGAAAGCGAGGAAACGAGTAGTACAAACTTAGTACAAGGATAGAGCTATACTATACCTGTTTTATACGATATTGTTAATTAATATCCCTTCCAGATAATATAGTTACAACATTTACCTGTGCTTGAAAGTAGACATATATGGATACGATAATTGGGTTAAGTTAAGGCTCAAATGCTTGGAATGTGGGTTTATATAGCTCCAGGAACCTCACAGCGCACACAGCGCAACATTTTCAGTGCGTGCGTACACGAAAGTGCTGAGAATATGGATACTTTTACTTTACTCTGAAGCACAGGTAAAAGTTGTAACTATATTGTCTGGAAGGGATACTATAGATACGGTAGATCAAACCTATACGATATCAAGATAAAATATCGTCTAAATTAAGTATAGTTTACTTGGTATATAGAGGTCTAAAATTCTGAGTAAACAGAGCCTAATACATACAGGTAATGATCTCGGCAATAAAAAAGAAAACATGGTACGGAGTAACGTGATCAATTGAATTTGAGCATAACAAGTGCTACAGTATAAAAAAGACCATTGAGAAAATGTTACAGTACCACATGAACGTCAATTATGTTTGGTACTTTGTCGAGCTCTTCCTCTGTACCAATTCTCAAAGAAAGCACCCAAGAACTCTCGACGGATGCGTACCCAACCTCACTGAAGATGGGTGTGAAAAGAAGCAATCCCAAGGAACCCTGATCCACTGACGGCCCGCCGTCATGCTCCGAGTTTTCAGGGGACCCCAGTACTATTTATACTGTACATTACAGTATGAAAGTTCTGGGCCAATGAGATTGCTTCAGTCTAGACTCGCAAAATTCAAATCATGGAGGGTTTCATCGAAATCTGCCTCGGCTTGTTGCCTTCAAGGTCCTCAAGACGAATTTACTATTGCTATATTGCTTGCGATTCTATTATTGAACTTCTTCTTTGTTTCTGATCTGGTTTCTTGCTTGCACCTCCTCCCTACACTAATCCCCTTCTTCGTCTCCTTCGATCCGACTCTGCAACACAAACACTCAAATACGTCATCTTCGCTGGAATTTGTGCTCGACAACATGAAGGAAACGACAGAATTTGACGTGATTATCATTGGAGCAGGTCTCTCGGGTATCAATGCTGCCTACCGATTACAAACAGAATTGCCAGGCTACAACTACACGATTCTCGAGTCGAGACAAGAAATAGGAGGCACCTGGTCCCTCTTTCGCTATCCTGGCATCCGATCCGACTCAGATCTCCACACTTTTGGTTTCCCCTGGCGTCCCTGGCAGGATGAAAAAATCATCGCAGATGGTGCTTTGATCAAAAACTACATTAGAGAATCCGCCGAGGAGTTTGGTATCGACGGCAAAATTCAATATCACCACAAATTGGTTGCTGCTAATTGGTCATCTGACGAGCAATCTGTAAGAATCGTCATATTCGCTTCTGGGGTAAAGACAACTAATCGTTTTGTTCAGTGGTCATTGTCAGTCGAGGGAAGCAAGCAAAATGAGAAGAACATCGCAGAGGTCATTACTAAGGTCTTCAAAGCCAAGTTCGTCATTTCTAGTACCGGATATTATGACTACAACACCGCGCTCAAAGCAGAAATTCCAAACATTGATTCATTCAAAGGCATGACAGTTCATCCGCAGTTTTGGCCTGTCGATCTCGACCATTCGAACAAGAAAATCATCATCATTGGCTCAGGGGCTACTGCTGCGACTCTCCTCCCAGAACTCGCTAAAACGGCCGCTTTAGTCACAATGGTTCAACACTCTCCATCTTACTTCGCAGCAGTTCTCACGATTGACAAACTCGGTGAGAGTATTCGAGGAATGTTTCCTACATGGGTATATTCGAAATTTCTCCGCTGGAAACACATCATCGGGACACGTTCTGTGGCTACTTCCCTAATGCCGCACGGAAGGGCCTGACCAAAAAAACTGCGAAACTCTTACCGAAAAGTGTGCCCGTTGACCCGCATTTCACACCTTCATATAACCCATGGGAGCAACGTCTCTGTGTCAGCCCAGATGGTGATTTCTTTACCGCACTACAGCAGGGAAAAGCCGATATCGTTACGGATACCATCAAGACTGTCAATTCGACTGGATTGATTACTTCATCAGGCGATCAAATAGATGCCGATATAATTGTCACCGCCACAGGTTTAAAGATGATGATGGTAGGTGGTGCTGAAATCGTCGTTGATGGAAAGACCGTCTCCTTCCCTGAGACTTTCTTGTGGAGAAGCACGTTGATACAGAATGTTCCAAACGCTGCAGTAATCGTCGGTTACTCTAACGCTGCGTGGACATTGGGTTCTGATACAGCTTCACAACTCATTTGCAGAGTCTCGAAGCACATGCGGCGGAATGGGTTCACCAGCGCCACTCCTACTCTTGGCTCGACTGATCCTTTCAGCGGAGATGATCAGTCTGTGGCACTGGAGTGGCAAGGTATGGGTGATCGAAAGATTCTCAACTTGAGTAGCACCTATTTCTCCAAAGCCAAGGAATGCATACCCAAGGCAGGTGATAGGGGCCCATGGCGACCCAGATCGAACTACTTTTCAGACGCTTGGGGAGCTCTTTATGGCAGTCTGACGCAAGGTATCAGATATGAAAAGTTTGAGAGTGGCAGAAAGGATCTTTAGACTGTACACCCATTAAAGATAAACATATGCTAGACTCTAGCTTGATCACGTTCATTCAGGATCAAAGCAGCTTGTGAAAAGAAGTTGTTAGCCGCATATAACCGTAGTTTAGCACTTAATTTTTAACCGCATTCATTAATACCACTTTAGTTGCGACATGGATTAATATTGGATTCGCAATCTCCGATTGATACATTTCCAAAAACCTGATTTTCACACTCCTCCGACCTCGTAGGCTAGTAGCTGGCGGCTTCCTCCTATAAAAAACATAACTTGTTGCAACATGGAAATGTAGGAAGCCGAAATAGAAAAGGAAACGCCATTCCAAAGATGCAATTCCCGAACCCCCAACACCAAAAGCTTCCATACATACCCCAATCCTTCTAGGTTCTGCAAACCAACATCAAAGTACCTTCAAACTGGTAAAATTTCATACACAAGTATTTTGGTAGCACCCGTGGTACGACATTCGTTGAGGCAAACGCCATACCCTTGCAGACAAGGAAGAAAATTCAACGCCTGCTCTTTCACGCCCGGCAGTTTTTTGTATTCCTTATAACACCCTTTATAACCATAAGCATCGCCGCACACTTCTTCGCAGGGCTTGGGACGGTATTTCTTGGCTTCTGTGAAGGCGAACAGGAGGCCGAATAAAGTTGCTGTGAGTTGCAACTTCATAGCGGTTGAGTTGAGGGTTGGTTTGTATTCTCTGCTTGTTTGTGGTTGTGTGAAGATGAGGGAGGTGAGAGATTGTTTTGATTTTATTGGATGTGCAGGCGAGAAGATGAGGTTGAAGGATGATGTTGGCATAGCCGATTGGGCCTGAATCTGCAGATGAGAGCAGAGCTGCCAATATTGCGAAGGTGGAGATTTGCATCTTTTCCGGAATTTCGATATCCTTCTTTCTTCTGATGGATTCAGTAAGTATTGTGAAATCTTGAGAGTAAGCTTATGGTCGTATTACAAGAAAAGAATCTTGAAGCAGAAAGGGCTGAGCTGGCCAGATATATACGATAGTCACTGAGCCTATGAAGGAGGTTGTAGTACGTGGTGGAAATCGCGTGCCCTTTCTTTGCGTTTCTGTTTAAACTTTTGTGAAAAATTCTGGAGTTTTAATATGAGAATTCTAGAACACCCCCCGTACTGAGAAATGAACGACTCCTGCCGAGGTGAATCAGAACATTTTACATCAATATTCGCATTCACCTGACCAAACTCTCCTGCCCAACACCTACCATTTCACCAATCTTGACTCATTCACTAATAATGCCAATGGCCGCAAATCACATATTCTGATCACTAGAACATTCACCTCTGCCTTTCATGTCGAGATATATAGATGACCCAAGCCTTTGTAAACTTTCAAATCTTCACATAACCAACAACAACATCAGTACCATATATGCTTACAGAATAAAGCATCATTTTTCAAATATCTCTATATACTATCATATACATTCCTTCTATCGACGATAAACATGGCACCTAATCAACGAAGAAAAATGCGATTCGAAATCGGACCAGACTCAGAACATGATAAGAGCCAGGGCCCCAGTAGTTCCGCAAGTTTAACAAGAATAAATTCCCCCTCATTCTCGCGTCCTGGTACAGCACACTCTATACTCTCCCGAGTCCAACCAATCACAGCACCAACTATAGGAAATATCGGAGAAGACAATATTGATTACCATGCTCCAAACATGGAAATAGACACCACAATCCAAGATGATGAGGAAGATGGAAACTACTCCCAGTCTCTGACAACCAATTCCCAGTCCCAAAATGTATCGAGATCAGCGTTTCGAAGTAATGCCGGATACAATTCTCAAGCTTCCACACAAGTTAGAGGTACGGGAGGCCGAAGTGCAAGTGGAAGCGCATCCCAAGCAGTTACCAGAAGAACTGTCACTCGAGAAATCAATGTACCTCCTGTATTCATGCAAATCCAGTCTTTCGACTTGTCAGCACCTCATTCCCAATTCCATGGCCAGCAACAACATCATCATCATCATCATCGTTCACAAAATTCTGAAGCACACTTCCACTTTCAAGAGATGGCTCGACGTCAGCTCGAATTTGAGCTGCTCAACGCCGCCGAACAAGCCATTCAAGAGCGCTGGGCACAGCAGCAACTAGCTCGACAACATGAGCCATGCGTCATGGGATTCGGTTGGCAGCGCATCGAAGGTGGATATGCATGTGACGGGGGCTCTCATATTGTTACAGATGAGTTACTCATCGAAGGAAATGGTGGCTATATGCTCAGAAATTGCCAACTGATTGATGGGGAATGGTATGGCCCTCTCTACAGCGCAGAAGAAGCAGTAGTAAACGATTTCATAAATGAATTGAAGGAAGCTGGAGTTTGGTGGGAAGGCGTTGATCCGGACAGCGACGATCCTCGATTATGGCGCATATAAAAAGGATTGTATGATTGTGAGGGTTTCCTCGTGATATTTAGTATGCCGGACTTTATCTATTCGTATGAGAAAATACAAGTTAGATGCTTAGGTAGTTTACCATGAAGATTCTTCGCCACTTTGTGAACGTTAATAACCAGGCTGTGTGGTGCAATATGAGGGCTTTCTTGGAGGAGCAAACACTCTTAACACGGTACATGTCAGAGACAAGGTCTTCGTATAGAACCCCAGTTGAAGCGAAGTCACTACTGGTAATTGTTCTAACAGCCGTATCGGCATGGCAACTGGGCAGTATACCCCCCTTCTGTGTCTATTCTAACACACAGATACTTATTCGAGGTACTGTTTAGTAATGCATATCCATCTCTCTATAGGTAATTAGACTAAACCGAGTCGTACAATGTCTCGGTATAGGTGTATTTATTTGGTGCTGCTTTTCAAGTCCTCAAACAGGTACGGGCTATGCGAACAAGAGCATATTCAGTACCAACATTCGATTGCACAAGCCACACAACGTCCCTGTGGACAAGAAAAGTCGCTAACATTCCTTTTCTGTCAACTTAACTTGTTTTACTGCAAACTATTTCGTCACTCCAGTTATCTAGAAAAATCGTATCAAATACCGTAGAATAATTGTAGTAATTTTCTCATAATATCTAAAATATTTACATACTTTGACCCAATTTACGCCAATAAATAGAAAATTGATCTCTAATATGTCCTTATCCACTGTGAAGCGGTACTGTATTGAAGAATCCAGCCGGTAGACAACTCAAAAAAGCCAGTATAGTTACAAGTTCATGTTATAATGGACATATTCATATGGAGATACAGAATAGAACTACGACTAAACAATTCGCAGCCACTCGTTAAAAGTCAAGAAAGTTCAATTCTTATACTGTACATCCTTCACAAATTGGTTGGTGTTTCTCAAGACCGCCATTTCATCATTCTATTCTCCATTCATAATACATGATGCGAATGAAACCTTACTTATCACCAGAGAAACAAAATTACTCTCAATCATCCGCCAAACCCAACGCCTCCCTCCTCGTAGGAGCATCAGCAATAAAATAAGGCTTTTCTGCCAAACTAGTAACCCTCGTTCCATGTCTCGGTTCGCCACCCTCATAGTCCCAACTTGCATTATGGATAGCAATCCTGTTATCCCACAACGCCGAAGTTCTCGGTGTCCACTTGAAGCGAACTTGGATATCGACGTTGGACTCATAAACATCATAGAGATAATTCAAGATCACGTCGCTTTCTGCTTTGTCTAGACCTACGATACGGCTCGTCATTGCTCTGTTGACGTACAGAGCTTTCCAGCCAGTTGCTGGGTGAACCCGGACGAGAGGATGGATTCTCTCGATGTACTTGGGACCGGCGTTCGGGTCGTTTCTGTCTAGATATGTGTGCGCGCTTGTGTAGACTGCTTTTTTTCCGTCGATCATTTTACGGAACCCGGGGGAGAGCTTGGAGTATGCTGCATAGCCACTGGCCCAGAGAGTGTCACCTCCAATAGTAGGTATAGTATCATTGTGTAAGTGTGTGATTCCAGCTGGATGTTTCTCATGAACGAGGTCACTGAAATATGTTAAAACAGACCGACTTGAACGATTATTGTAGTCTTACGTGTGCCATCTAGACGCTCCTCCAGGCTGTCTAAACGAGGCTTTCCTCTCAGTTGCCATTAATGCCGGCCAAATAATGGTAACTCCGGGTACACCTGGAACATGTGGAACTTGAGGCTTCAAAAGGTCAGTATCAGCTCGAATTTGGTAGCAAGACCACGCACATGGATCTCAATCTCCCCAAAATGCTCACCCAAGCTCTTCTGTTGCTGAGGAGTGATATCTTGATCCCTGAAAAATACGACAGTTCGCTCGGCAATCAAAAGTGCCAACTCGTCTCTCTGTTGATCTGTCAAGTCTTTGAGTTGTAACCCTACAATCTCTGTTCCGATGTGTGAGGTCAAATGAATCACTTCTTTGGCGGCACTGAGTAAAGCATTTTTTGATTTGTCGGCTCGTGCACCGGCATCGACATGTTCACGATCAACATTTCTGATCGAGTACGCCTGTGATTTGAAATGTTAGACTAGGTTTTCTTATTGACAAAATTCTCGAAGGGGATAATTTTGAAGTTGATGGGACAATAGGCGAGATTTTGTGTATGACTTATGGGGTACTTCATAGCACACCACCTCTGCCTCACGGATAATAAGATGTGACACCGAACCGACAGAATTTTACTTACATCATCGAGATATAGCGGAGCAGCTGGACGTTCAGGATAGCCATTACTAAGGTCAATACCTGCAGCCTCGAGACGACGGCGAGCTGCCTCCGGAAGAGGAAGTGTGTCTTTCTTCTGGATCACTACATCCTTAATATGAGGCTCAATAGGCTCAGGAATCGCGATAGCTGAAGGTGCCATATTTTCGTAGTTTGATTGCTCTGTTCGTTTAAATGTTCGTAGAAAGCGGTTGAATTATTGTCTTGGTACTGTACCTAATTCCTGCGACCAACTTTTATATTTCTTTTGTTTCACTTTTACTCCACGTTAGCATTCAGTGGAGAAATCGATCTTTCTTTGATTTCCAATCTTTTATTTCTAATTTAATTCATGTGTCGTACCAGCGCCGTTATCTCAGAAAGCGGTGATCGCGCCTAGTTGGAGTGGACCGGTGTGTTTGCAAGAGGCGGGGTTTATTGCGTGCTTTATACCTTTTTTTAGCGACACCCAACGAATGTTTTATATTCTTCAACAATATACTTCCCGGTTGGTCTCTTTATCATGATCTGATGTTTGTGATAATATAATTGGCTCATTTTGGAATTGTTATCTGTGGTGTGGTAGGATTTCGCGGGGTTGGATACTTACACCATAGTTCTAAGGTAGCACAACATACATGCATATAAACTAATATTGAAAGCCAGGCATACTTCACAGGGTATCTCGGCAAGGACAATTTATTGCGGTGCTTACTAGCTCTCATTATCCCGAAGTTTCAGGAAAACGATCGATCCTGTCGGAGATATCCTTCCCTTATGTTCAACTTTCCTCATCCGTCTCAACCTGACGTTGGAGTCCCACTAAACATCATATGCAAGACCAGTCCCTACTTCCGCCTTCAATAGTTATTTTCGGAGATAACCTTAATTTTAGAATAATGTCTAACCACCTTTGAGGGGAGTCCTTGCACTGACGTATTATCCAGCGTGCCTTTCACAATTCAGCCCTTCCTGATAGGATAAGCACGCCTTTTACCACGAATAACTTCTCATAGCGGGATTTCTACGAGTATATTCATCAGCACTTACCATGTTTTCAATCCCATCCCTAGTCTGTTATCGGGAAGAGGTTTCCTGACTCGAACTTGGCCACAATTTAAGACGCTATCTTCACGAAAGTGTACGGGAGAAATTGTATTCACATCCCACAAACCTCCCTACTTATCCCCTGGTGGCATTTCTATGCGTAAGATTGCACGTATGAATACTACATCAGTTTTGGTGGAGGCGACAGGGTATATAAGTACTTGTGGTACTTGTGATGACAGAGCTGGAACTATTTCCCAATCACCTTCAGTCATGTCTGAAGAGGGTGTTAAGAAAGATATCGTAGCAAGCCTAGAGTCCGACGCGGATTCTAACAACCACGTTATACCTAGCGAGAAGGCGAAGATACCATGGTGGTCATATATCTGGGTATGTCCCATCACTCACTTATTCATTGCTCGCTCCGAAGAGAGCATAGAAAAACCCCTAACACTTCAACCAGGACTATGACCCACTCCAAACGCCCAGGGAACGAAAGTTCCTCCAAAAACTAGACATTTCCCTCCTCACAATTCTCTCCTTCAGCTACTTTATCAAAAACCTCGATCAAACAAACATCGCCAACGCCTACGTATCGGGTATGAAAGAAGACCTCCGCATGAACGCCAACGAACTAAACTACATCGACATATCTTGGACATGCGGCTACGTAATCGGCCAACTCCCTTCCCAAATAATCCTCACAAAAGTCCGACCATCAGTCTGGATCCCCTCTTGCGAACTCGTTTGGACGATCTTGACGTTTTGTTTAGCGGCTGCCACGACTAGCAAACAGGTTATCGCTATCAGATTCTTTGTTGGACTCGCTGAGAGTATCTTTTATCCTGCAGCTCATTTTTTGATTGGGAGTTGGTATAAGACTGGGGAGCTGGGGAAGCGGGCTTGCATTTTTCATGCGAGTTCTGCGGCGGCGGGAATGTTCTCGGGGTATTTGCAGGCAGCTGTTTACAAAGAACTTAATGGTGTTCATGGGAAAGCTGGATGGCAGTGGTTATTCATCATGGATGGAGTTATCTCAGCACCAATCTGCCTGGCTGGGTTCTTCCTTATCCCTGATCTGCCCGAGAATACGCGAGCGTTCTATCTTACCCAAGAAGATAAAGAACTGGCGAGAAAGAGAATGAGCGATATTGGGAGGGCCCCGAGGAGAAAGTTAGGTTGGGATATTTGGAGAAGGGCGTTCAAAAGGTGGCATGTTTATGTTCTGACCGTGTTGTATATTTTATTTTTGAACTCGACGCCGAGTACCAGTGTTGCGCCTTTGGCTTTGTGGCTGAAGAGCAGGAACTTTCCGGTCACCCAAATTGTAAGTTCCGCCTTTCTCACTTGGTTTAACCGAAGCAAGGCACAAGGTTACGCAATCTCAGTGTCTAATCAACGGTCTATCACACACCACGAACAAAAGAATCCTTAATGATCATCTTGTCCCTTTCAATTTACACCCTTGAAAGTACCCTCGCTAACTAAAAACCCCAGAACATTATCCCAACTGGCCAAAGTGCCGTACAACTAGTAACAACAGTCGGCCTCGCAATTTTAAGCGACTTCCTCCGCAGCCGCGCAACAGTAATGTACATAGCAACCGTATGTCCCCTTCACTCCCCCTAATCCTAAACCCTTTCCACCTCTAATATAGCGAAGTCCCTAGGTCTCCTCTCCTCCCTCCTACTGGAAATTTGGACCATCCCAACCGGCCTGAAATACACAGCCTACTTCCTATCGCGCGCTGCCGTAGCTTTCGGACCTCTATCCATGTCCTGGGCGAACGAAATCTGCACCTCCGATGCGGAAGAACGCGCGCTGGTAATAGGGATAATGAATGCAACCGCGTACGCATTCAATGCGTGGTTGCCACTGCTTACGTATCCTGTGAAGGATGCGCCAAGGTTTAGGAAGGGGTTTATTTGGAGTTGTTGTGTGCTTGTTGGCCAGGCGGGAGCCACGGGTGTTGTGGCGTGGCTTTGGAAGAGAGAAGGGAGGAGGAAGGGTGGGGATGGGGAAGGTATTGAGGAGGGTGGTAATGGAGACAGGGAGGAAACGAGAGAGGTGGGTGTGAGGTAGTGAGTTAATAAGTTGGATGTATTTGATTATTAATGTTAGGGAGCGCTACGGAAATCTATAACTTGATTAATTCGGGATTTCCCACCCCTTAATACGAGCCCCTTCGTATTACTGTCACGTTAATCTTAGTGGGAGCAGAAAAGTCGATACCTTATCTACTCCTATTCGATACCTTATATACACCCGGTTAATACTATATTAATAACCAAAAAGATTTATAGAATATTAAAAAATTAAAAAAATCAATAATCTTTAAACTTACTTTAATTAAGTAGAATACCTAAATAAATACCTTCGTAAGCTTATAAATTATTAAAAATACTTAACTTATTCTATTAAAAATTTATAATTTTCCTATAATACCTTACCATTTTAAAATCGCTTTACTTATAACTACTTACCTACCCCTCCTTACCTAGAATTAACCCTAAAAGTCGTACTTTACTTTATCCTATAAAGCTAGAAAAAAGTAGCTTAAAAAAGTTACTATTAAATACCTTATACTCTAATAAGTTATCGATATCTAGCCTAATTTATAGTAATAGCTACTAAAGCGTACTTGACTTCTATATTTTTAGGGGTTAAAAAATTATTACTAGAAAAAGGTAACTATAAAATACCTTAACTTATACTTAAAGAAAATATTACTATCTAGCCTAATTTATAGTAATAGCTACTAAAGTATACTTTACTTCTATATTCTTAGGGGCTAAAAAATTATTACTAGAAAAAGTTAACTATAAAATACTCTATACCTAAAGAAAATATCGCTATCTAGCCTGATTTATAGTAATGGCTACTAAAGCGTACTTTACCTTTAACTTATATCCTAAGGGGGTAAAAAAATAGGTAATAATTATATACTAGAAGCGTATAATATCCAACAACTAAAGTTAACTAATAAGCTACTACCTACCTAGTAAATTCTACTAGCGTTAGTACTATCCTTATCCTTAATTTATATATTAACTCTACCTGCCTTATAACCTATTACTTTTTTCTTTACCTTTTATAATAATAATAATAATAATAATAAGTTAACTTAGTAAGTTATATAAAATAAATCATTTATAACTTATAAGATTTAGAATAAATTTAATATAACTAGAAAAATTATAATTTATTAATAACTTTAGATATTTCAGTAACTATTTATTAATAACTGTTTATAGATAAGTTAAGTTAAGGTATCAATAATTATTAATAGAGTATCTATAACCGAGCGTATATAAAAATATATATAAGGTATCGATAACCGGTTGTTAATACCTTATCTACGCCTGCTCCTACTAGTAATATAGGTGAATAACTTAAACTTTCACTTCTCTTAAGTATTACTTTACTATATATTCACTTTATGAAATATTTACTATAAAATATTCACTTTATGCTACGTTCACGTAACTATATCTTCACTTTACTATATCTTCACTTTACTATATCTTCACTTTACTATATCTTCACTTTACTATATCTTCACTTTACTATATCTTCACTTTACTATATCTTCACTTTACTATATCTTCACTTTACTATATCTTCACTTTATTATATATTTACTTTACTATTATTCACTTTACAAAATATCTATACTCGCTGTTAATATTATCTCGTTAGTTCTCGAAGGCTCATTCCTTACCTTAGCTAGATTAGTTACTATGTAGTAATAAAGATAAATATAAACACTATAAGTTAATGAAAGTATAACTTATAGTAATCTTCCCGCTTACTTTAATAATACCTTAAGTATACCTCCTCCTTAAATATAGTAAGACTACTCCTAAAAAATTAGTACGTTTAAGTATACTTCTCCTAAAACTTACGTCCTTTAAATTTCACTTACCCTAATATTCACTTTATCTAAATTTCACTTTCCCTTAAAGGGCTACTTTTAGAAGTTTTCTATTCTTAAGTTCACTTCCTTATAAAGAGCTAGTCTTAGAAGCCTTCTACTTCTAAGTTTACTTCCCTTAAGAGATTACTTCTCTTAATATTCACTTCCCTTAGTATTTACTTATTCTAAGAATTCACTTCCCTAATAAACCTCCCCCTAGTAAATCACTCCTTTGGATATTCACTTCCTCTAAATTTAGCTTTACTAAAGTCTTACTACTAAACTTACCTTTTTTAAAGATTTACTTCCCCGCGAACTTATTTCCCTCTTATTCACCTATCTGTAAGATTCACTTCTAAGTTTTCACTTCCCCGCGAACTCACCTTTCTAAGACCTCACTTGCTTAAAAACTCACTTCCCCAAGACCTTACTTCCTTAATACCTCACTTCTCCTAAAAAGCGGCGGTGTTATAAGAATAATATTACGTCCTTGATCCTATAAAGAACACTTTTCTAAGAAGAACTCCTCCATTCCTCCCTTAATCGTAGTTCTAGGGACTCGCTTAATATAGACGAAGAATAAGTTAACTATTCAGGGAGCGTTTATAGGAGAAGCGAAATTATATTATGAAAAGATGTTATTTAAATTCAATAGTGATTATTAAAATATTTAATTGTAATTTGATTACGGTAATAAGACAGGCATCTACTATGGTATTAACCACCCTCTTTCCTTCCTGTTATAAGCTACTACAGCCCAAGTTCAGAAGAATCAAACAGGAAAGAGGTCACAAGAACACATGCGTAATATCTCACATACAATTTACTCCTCAATTTAGTACTCCCAACTATGAAAAACGCCGCACATTCTCACCAAATAACTACAAGGGGTATCTTCGCATCCTACAAATCCCGTCCAATTCCTCAAATATTACCATGTCCCATTTGTCTCTGATGCTTCCTCAAACTATCAATGCGAGCATACTTCTTTCGACAACCAGGATACCAACAAATATTCCCATCCTCTTCGTAGTCCTCATCATCATTGCCGGCATTCTCAGCAATCCGATTCAGGATCTCAAGCTCTGCGGGATCTTCCTCTTCCGGAGCCTCCTCTTCAACATCCTCGTCTCGGTCATTCTGTCCATATTTTCCGGCTCTTCCTGAGAGCCCGTGGCCGCCCCTGGTAGCTCTGCCACCTTTGGTAGATCGGCTGGCACCTCCAGACTCTTTTGCTCCTTCCGCCGCGAGCTTTTTAGAAATCTGCATCTTCGGCAATTTCTTGTTAAGATTGTGTTTTTCGGCGAATACCTTCCCATAGTTAAAAAGAAGTTCTTCGCCTGCCTCGATGTCGCGGAGTGCATAAAACTTGATCCGATGCTCCCCATTCACCCAAAGAATCTCAGCTTTGCAGTTTAACCCAGTTTGAAAGGTAGCGGCGTGGTTTATGAACCGTGTCTTATTTGCGTAGCGGTGTCCATCAAGGGCCCATTCTTTGTTCAAGTCAAAAAGAAAAGACAAACCGTGGCGATCATATGTGATACCTCGTCGATCGGCTTCTCCTTGGGAAATGAGCTATTTGGGACCGGTTAGCGTTGTTCGTACGAATTATGTGCTAGAGTTACCTACCTCGCTACAATATTCGTCGATGTAATCACCCTTGAGTATAGGCTCCCCGGCATAAAGTCCTTGTCCAGCTAATTGACTAATGCCCACTAAAGTGGCTTTAGGAACACCTCTCTGCAGTACCACGTTCTGGCAGCCCGTGGCAAAGAGATCATCGTTATGTCTGTTCGCTGGATTCAGACGCTCAAGAGCCCCGCAAGAGCAGTGTGGTCCGCATTCACGGTTCATCTCTTTACATATACACGTTCCATCCAGACAGGATTTATCGTTAGAACGGCAGCTACACCCCATGAAACGTCGAGGGCAGTCATCCGAACAACTGCACATGTCTTCACAGAGAAGACTTTCTAAAAAGCAAGGGCAGTTGACATCCACGGAGCAGGGACCGGCATGGTGGCACTATTGGTCGTTAGGGGAAGATTTTAGAATCGCTGGGTTTTAACTTACGGGAACTGCTTGCGTCCTTTTTTCCTGAATGTGTGTACATGTCATCTCTTTCCAATCGGGATCTAGGACTTTTCGTTTATTGTCGTACCAAGCAATCTTGGCTGCTCTAATACCCGCCTCAGAGAGCTTTGGCTGCGGAGGTATAATTTTCTTTTCTCGCTCTTGACGATCACTAAAAGGTTTGCATTAGTAAATGGCATCCTAAGAGTAGAGGAAAGAAGTAAGGGCATACATTTCCTGAAAAACACGGGAACATGGCAATCCTAGGCCAAACGCAATATAACAACAGCGATCAGTCAGGCGGCCTACAGAGATCAGTAGTAAGCTAATATCGTTGATTTCAGCTTCTGTGAGTGCCCGAAAGGGGGTTGTTCCCGCCCCAACAACAAGATAGCAATCTGACGAACATGGACTCTGATTGGCGTCGTTTCGATCACTGCCAAGCTTTTCTTGTCTCTCTATGTGCTTTCGCAACAAGTCATCGGGCTGAATCGTAATACGTTCGGGTTTCGTAAGATATCCAGCCTCATCCTCCGTGAACTCCCCGTGGGTTTGGCATTCGATTACCCCACAAATGAGACATGTCAGCGTAGTATATGTTTCAACAGCAGACATGGGAGTTTGAGGAGCCTGTTGATGATTATCGAGAGATGTCCGGCCGGGTTTGCTAGAGTTTTCAAGTTCCAATAACTCGTCCTGTCGGCCTTTTGACAAGAGCACGTCTTGTAAGTTAAGCTTCAATGGCTCGTTGAGATTCATGCCATTTTTTCCCTTCTTTCCTTTTTTGGCGTAAAGTAGTTGCTTGGCCTCGAATACCTTGTCGAATGCGTTTGTAAATCGGCGGGCAACTTGATATGCATCAATGCATAATTTGGCATCATATAAAGTTCCGTTCCTTTCCACAAATTTATTCTGAAAACCTGTATCCTGAGCAATAAGGTATTTTTCAAGGTGTTCTTGCGTACACTTGATCTTGCCTTCCTCGAGCCAGAACTGTATGTTGCCGTACAGGCGCTTTTTGTACTCAGCCTGCCAGTACGGCTTGTAGGGATGAGCCTTGTGCGATTTATCCAGGTCGTCGTCTGATATGTCTCCGTTGCTGCCTAGCTCGTCCTCTTGAAGCCTGACCTTTGGCTTCCCATCATCAGGGCAAAGTATGTTGCGATGAATAAAGGTTAGCGAGGTGTATTTAGGTATAGGCACGTAATCACAGGTGATTTGGTTTGACACAACGCGGCTGGTTGATAGAGTAAGTTTACCCTTATTATCGGGAACCTATCGCTATCAGTATAACAGTACCATCATCTTATAGACTACACTTGAGATAGACTTACCCCAGCCTTGAATGAAAGTACATTTGACTCTTCCGGATTCGCTAGAATGTTTTCAATAGATTTCATTGAAGCGAATGGAGAGAGCTCTTTGGCAGGATGAGTCTGGGAAGCATCTTTGCTGGTCATCTTGCTCGCCTCTTCTGAGAGGTAGGCTACATTGAAGGCATGGGTGACCTCCATATCTTCCTTGAAGCTAAGAAGTAGTGCCTTAAAGTCGACACTATCATCCAATTCTGAAGGCTTCATAACAGAAGAGGTGCTAGTTATGACATTTTGCCCTTCAGTACGACCGCGAGAGGACTCCGAGGGGGAATCTGTGTGGGGGCGTGGGCCGTCGAAACTGTTCAACAGTTTGTTTTTGTCTTGCGCAGCGGCAAATATCCCTGAAGTGGACTCTGTTGCCTTCCTGCCTGATCTCTCGTCGTCTTCTTTAGACGAATAACCTGCATGCCTGACAGAAGCTTTGTTTGCTGGTTGCGTAACATTACTCCTGGACTGGCTTTGGATACTGCCATCTTTGAATTGAGCCCTCTCTGGCGCTGTCACTGTACTCTTAAGTTGTGATTGCGCACTGGCTGATCTAGAATGAGTATGCTCTGGTACGACACTCTTAGGAGGCAATGACGTATTACCTAGGTTGGACTGTGCACTTCTCAACTCTGGTACGTTATTGTTGATCTTTGATTGTGTACCGAGTATTATCGACTCTCTGCCCTCTAGTCCTGGGTCTGCATTTGTACGTTGTGTTTGCTGTGGACTCGCTGGCTTCGAGGGAGCGATTTCTAGCTTCTGTGCTAGATTCTTGCGCAGTGTCTGCGAATCAGCTCTTTTGGATTGCTGACCTTCCGGGTTTATACCCGTGGAGGGTTCGCCCTTTACTACTGGCTGTTGCTGGGGTCGTTCTGCATCAGGTTTTTTCTGGATCGAGGTTGCTAGACTTCCTTGTTTGGCAGGTCTTTCTAGGCCTGGTAGGTTTGGGAAATTGCTTGATGGATGTCTTTCCGGGACAGGAGAAGGAATCCTAAAGCGAGGTCTTGGCAATGGTACGCTTTGCTCTCTTTGGGCCGTAGGCTTTGAGTTTTTAGGAGAACTCTTAATTACAGGAGAGTTGGCAGATCGTTCATCCAAGTTGGACTTCGCAGAGAACGTTGCAGCACCAATAGAAACAGATGGTGTTGATTTGGATAGACTTGGTCTATTTATTCTGCTAGGAGCCGCTGAGTTGGTTGAAGAATTTTGGGTTTCGTCAGCATCGTTAGAGAGATCCTCTGTAAGATCGATAAACTGAGCTTTTGGCGCTGGTTTGGGTTCATGCCTAGGTCGAGGCCCAGGTGGAGGTGATGTCAAATCAACTTCTTGAACCCGTTTCCGCTTTGATTGAGGTATTGGCTCAGGTTCGGGTGTGGTCAGATCTATGAGTTGGTTGTGTCTGGACATAGTGACTATACACGTGTGAGTGAATACACTTTGACTAATTTATATCGAGGTGTTGAGTTTTGATGTAATTGATATGGTTGATGTTGAATATTGAAGATGAAACTGAATATGAATATGAATGTAATGGAAGTGGCCACAAGGACAAGGACTGAGATATAAAATACCTAGGTACCAAGTACTTACCTCAGATCAAGAGCAAAAACACAACGCTGCTACTCAAAAAGTCGCTGATCCAGCATGTGAATATGTATGGGTATGTGAAATTGACAGAGAGTGACAGATACAAATATTTGACCACGAAACTGACTGCTTAACAACTTTGAGAGTGTGTTGAATTAAGTTGAGGGTCGTCCATAAATGTATAAGATCGTGCGTACTCGTATGGAGTTGGTGGTGGAATAAAACAGGGACCTAGGTACAGAGTAGGACAAGGTCGTGTCGCCTTGCTTAATGGGGACAAACGCACAGACCATGACTAGCGCACAATCACATGATAATCACGAATCACGTGTATATACCTAGGTTGGACTGTCCTCATGATTTCAGGGTAGAGATCACATATAAGGGATGTTTATACAGTGAATAGGTAGGTAGGAGTGGGTGCATGGAACCTGGACCTCAAGGGGCATATATGTACTAGGAATAAGCAGTTTGCAGATGTCCTTTGTTAGTACAATAGCAATCAAATCATTAGTTAAATCCAAGTTTTTTCTGTAGATACCCGTGGACCCTTGGACCTAGCCACCAGCCTAGTGTTAGGTAGGTCTGGTTGTCACAGATCAATACTTCTTCATGAACTCATACCAGCCTTTGGATGTATACACTTCACCCAGCCTAATCGGACCTTCAGGTGTTTGAGAGCAACAACCATAATTCACTCTAGACAATCATCGATCTCATTCAGATCCTCACTTTATTGTCTATACCTAGCTCTTCTCGCAATTTCGCCAACAACTAGGGTCAATGAATAATATAGCCCACCATGCCGTGACACGCCATCCGCAAGTCTACAACGTCAAGGTCAACTCATGCGGAGAGGAGCAGCGCTAGCAGCGAGCCTCGAGCCTCGAGCCTGTTTCATCATATTTGACGGCACTTCCGTTCGTGCAATCAAGGGTCGCTCGTGGCAATGGGACGAATTGAGGCAGAAGCAAAGTCACAGCACCCGTCCACTCAATATTCGACCAATATCAATACCAACATCAGCCGGACGATGGCTGCATTTGCTGCATTTACCCAAATCGAGACCACCGCTTCAGTACCAACGGCGAAACGGCTGCAATAACACGGAAGCAGGTATGAATGAGCCTGTCAGTTGATTCCATTCCCGTTTTCAGAAAACACAAGCAAGTTGAACCGTTTGTCCTTGATTGCCATTGCTCGGGGATATTAATACCGCGTATTTAAACTTCAATCCGTTCCTGTGTCGCACCATTTTGGACATCACTCTTCTGCTCCTCCTTTCTGCGTCCGCTTCCGCTTCCGGTGTCGTCCTTTTCCTCAGCTCTAAGTTTTTACCTGGTTATCCATCTGACTCGGAATGTAACCTTTGCATGGTTGCCATGCTCCCGTGTCTTTAGCCTGATATGTCAATATGATACGCAAGGGATTGCTTCAAAGGAACATTGGAAGCTGAAATGGAAGGCGGCGCATCTGCAACCAGCGGTAAGCCGCAGAAGGCAGAAGCAGGCGCGTTGGGCGGATGGCCATGCTGGGAGTCGGATTATTGGATTTCGCTTTTTTGGGACAAGATGAACAAACCTTTCGGGGAGAAGAAAACGAACGGTCTTCCGTCCACATTATATTTCTAATATTTGGCCCAAGAACGCACACTTGTGTCAGATATTCCACTCCAAATTTTACCAACACACGGTCCCCAATTGTTGGCGATCGTTGTTCATCATCTCCTGTGGCCTCTGGCTTATCTCTGGGCCACGGAATGTGCTCAACGGTCCTCGAATGCCGGCGATCGTTGTTCATCATCTCCCGTAACCCCAGGCTTATCTCTGGGCCACGGACTGTCCTCAGTGGAGAACACGGCTCACGGGTCCAAGATCCATGGATGTATTCCGTCCTGTACCTTGAATTACAGAAGGAGACGGCTCCGTCAATTTTGGTGAAGATCTGAACCAGATCAAAATCGGCTGTCGAGGAAGCGTAACGGCGTTCGTCTTCTTTTAATTATGATCCAAGTCACTCGAAGTCTCTCGAAACCTCAAACTGATCTTGTTTTCATTTGGTGTTCTATACCGAGCCTCCGCGCTATTTTTGCCATGAGCGTACGCTTTCATTTTACTTCGTATATTCGGAGTTTATCCTCTTCTGCACCTTCTTGAAACTAGAATTACATTTCTTCGTCAATTCAAACTTGATATGATACATAATTTCCGCAGGTCTTTCGGTTTCGACTTGATGGACTTAAGTTTGCCCCTATACGGCTAGTATACAAAACCTTATTTACATTGCCTTCGAGTTACAGTCAATGCAGGGTCGCAGAGGCCGACGTTTGCGTTTGAGGGGGCGGGAGTCTGTTCTGTCCGTCTCATGGATCGACTCTTGATCGTTGCGCCAGATTATCCAACGGTTGAACTTCGTGATGGAGATGAACGAGTGAACGAGCGGCGTAGAACGTTTGCGGTTTAGTCAATGGTTTACGCAAGGAACAAGGGTTGACATTGCAGCCAGATATAGTTTGACAGGCATAGGGTGGCCGCCGACTCATCGGACCTCACAACCGAACGCGACCAGGAATGATTGTGATGAGAACAACCAATCATGGAAATCCAACTGATGGGGCTCTTTCGGTAGTCAAGATTCACCTGGAGCTCCTCCGAGTCAAGATTTCAGAATCGAGGAATTTCTGCCCTACAGGGTAATTTACGCAGTCCGTACAGGGTGAATAAGTCGGACTATCATTGATGGCAAACATACGGATGTCGGAACTAGCTCTCCGGTATAGGCAGGACTTGCCCACCACGAGCTAGAGTAACACCAATATCGAATGAATCTGGGTTACACCATTACACCGTTGCCTTTATTCACACCTGCAGAGTGTAGGTAATACTACCTCGGTGTGATACAGAATCAGAAGCATCATCGGGTCAGGTTCTCAGAATGGCCAAGGGAAGAGCTACAGCAAGATCCGAACTTAAAAGTCTTTCTAGATCCACTCTCCAGAGCTGGCCTGATACCTCTTACCGAAGTAGCAGTACCGTACGGAGCGTATACAACTCGCAGATAACCCAATCCCAGATTTCCGCGTTGTTGCGAAGGTCTTGGAGCAGCACCAACTCTCTGGTTGTACGGAGCAGGTGTTTATACTTCGTAGAAGGATGTTTGGTCAAGAAGATGGAGTAGCACTCTTGGCTGGATATGAAAGGTAAAATACCAAGCAATTTAGGTCTGCCGGTACGGTCCTCTCACTGCTGGACCAGCATACCATGGTATGGGTGCGCTTCTCCCGGAATCCAGAAAGAGCCAACCACTTGTCGCCGGCTTCAAGGCTCATGTTGCCTTGCCTTGCCTTACCCTGCAGCTCTGGCTGTGGTTCTGGTTCTGGTTCTGGCTCTGGCGAGAGGATCCAACCCCCCTGAACACACTCGGCTCGGTATCCAGTGAGCTTGCGTCGTCGCCATCCTTCTCCTCCGATCTTTTTGGATGCTCTGCTGCACCCATTCTGCCTGTGTCTGCACCTGCACCTGCCGCTGCTGACGCCACCTGGAGACCAGTTGCTTTTACCCTGAGTTCTGCCCGTGGGCATCCATCCAGCCAGCCCCTCGCATAGTGGGCAGCGGCAAGTGGTCATGTTTGACTTGGACCACGAGCAGCAGATGAGGGTGAGCAGTGCAGTGCAGTGCAGCGCAGCGTAGACTTGAGTATTGTAGGCTCAAAGGCTCAAAGGCTCAAAGGCTCAAAGGCTTAAAATGTTATGCAGGAACCACTCTCGAGCCACTCCAGGAAGGTTGTGATCAGGGGTTCATCAAGCGATAGTCTTTACCCTGTCTCCTGTCCACCACTACCACTCCACTCAACCTGAACCCATGGAACGACCCTATCCCAATACCTGGACGGGATACCCTCCCCTAAGGCTCAGCGGCCAGCCAGCGAGCAGCGAGCAGCGAGCAGAGCAGCAAGCCCGCCAGCCAGCACTCCCGAGGTCTCGAGAGAGCCCATCACCATCATCATCCATCACCCATTGGGGCATCACCTAAACTCACCAGGGCATCCACCACCCACCACCACCCATCATGCCCAAACCCATGCCCATGCCCCTCCCCTGCCCCGTCGTCCCCCTGGAGCCCAGCACCCCAAGGCCAGGCGAGCCAGGCTTAAATTTCTTCATTAATGACTTTACTCCCCGTCACAGTCCCGCTCTGCACCGCACCCCGTTCGTTCGTTGCTTGCGTTGCTTGCGTTGCGTTCCGTTGCATCTCTCCCTGAGAGTGCGTTGACTCCGTTGAGTTTGGCCTGCCCTGCCCTGCCCGTCGCTCCTGCCTCCTGGCTCCCCTCCTGGCTCCCCCTTCCCCTTCTCCTTCGGCTTCGCTTGCCTTTCCCCTTCCAGGCCAAGGTTGTCCTCACATTCGATCGAGTCCGTTTCGAGCCCCGTCGATCATTTCTCTTACTCCCAATTCTGACTGATGCTGTGCCCAATACAACTTGGCCTCATCGACCGCATCTCTTGCTTTTCTGATCTTTCCGTTGTTCAACGCGCATGTCAACAGCCTCATCCACTGCCCCAGTCACAGGAGTGACAGTGAGCACCACCACTACCACCACCACGATCAGCAACAGTAGCCGATCTGCAGCGTGCCAATCCCCGCAAAGCGCAGCACAGCACACAACCACCGCAGCACGAATCCTCCCACCAGCGACACCAACTCCGACTCCGCAGTGCGAGTCCAGTATTATTGAGAGGGACGAGACGACGGCCGCATAGGAATTGCGACGCGACGACCATCAAGAAGAGAATTTGGTAGTGCCGGCAAGCATCATCCAGCGTCACTTGGAATCTCGTGCGCTCTGGTCAGAGTTCTGAGGGTAGTTGGGTGGAAGAGGAGCAATCAGCGTTCCGACGAATGGAACGATCACGGCCGACTTATCAACTCGGAATCCTCTTGCGTTCCCCGTTGGTTCATCATGGCGACTCCCAACCCACCCAGTCCGCCATTGCCAACTAGAGAACAATGCTTCTCCTTGTCCGAGGCTCAATGTCACAAGATCTTGATGCATCGCGACCCGAATAATGAGAGGGCAAACAAGAACTGGGAACTGGTGCATCAGCCCGAGTTGGTCCGACTGTACATGACCATGATTAGCTTTCCCCAGATTCGAGACTACATGAAGCAAAAATTGGACTACTGGTGAGTACATGTAACACCCGTCCGAGACAATATCTTACGCTGCTTTCTAGTTACAAGACATATGCCAATCGATATAAGGACTGGCATTTACCCGTCGACCGATGTGAGCGGGAGCAAGCAGTAAGGGAGCTATTTGCCTTGGTCTCGGATTCCTCCAACTACCAAACCGCCACTTCTTCCTTGTCAACAAGTGCATCCAGGCTACCCATTCGACCACTACAACCACATCCTAACACCCCACTTCCGCAAATCCCGCAACGGGCACCATACAGTGTACCAACTGATTTCCTATTTCCAGCAAATCGACGACGCAATGTTCGAGACTCGGATCAAATGTCGATTGCGACGACAGCGAGTAGTGCAACATGGTCATCCGGAAGTGCACAATCCTATTATTCTCATCAGGATGATACATTTTCTAACCCTCGCTTTTCGATATCAACATTCAATTCCTCTCTCAGTTCCGGCAGTCAGGTTTCCATGCCCCCAACTTTTCATGGACGCGGGCCATTAAAACCACCAAAGCATGACTACAGGTATGGCTGTTGGAATGATGAACTACGCGTAATTCCTTGCGGAAAGGATCACAGCCAACTTCGATGGAATATTCCTTTTTCAACTTGTCATATCTGTGGCTTCTCGCAATGGCACGCACTAATGTTGCAGGCTCGCAGTTTAGACCTGGCAACCTTTACCTCGGCCATGATGAGTTTGAGCAGCGAATGCAAACCAGACTTTGCGGGCAATCACTCGTTACATTTTTTGATGGCAGCAGGAGTCAGTATGGAGTATTTCACACAGCCAATGACCGATATCAGCTGTCGTCAAAATGCATTTGGCCAAAATCCACTGCATGTGCTTGACCCTCAGGATTTGGACGACGATCTGATTGGTTTTTTGGAGTGGTTTAAAGCTCGTGAGCACCCAAAGGGGCTCCTATTAACGCAGCGTGATATCAAAGGTCGGACACCCATGCACTATCTCCTACGGAGACCTCTAGAAAGATCTATGTATACGAAGATTCTCAAGGTCTTCCCGTATGAGCATCACCAGCTTCGTACTTTCGATACCAACGGCCGAAACGCGCTCATGTTGATGAAGCGAGCGGCAGCGGAATTGAAAATGAAGTCACCGGCGGAGTATCATCTTCTTCAGGCTGGAATCGCGGATACCGAACAGTATCAAGCTAGTGGTGATAATACACAACATGGCGACAGAAACCTGTATGGTTTCCACGATATCGCTCGAGGAGCTAGAGGAACGTCATACTTGATGGGAAATTTCTTCGAATGTCGAATTTGTCAGCAAACCAACTCACATTCTAATTCATACCTTGACCAGATGATCTGTGCTTGCAAATTTGGACGCGATCGCAATGGGCCGGATGAGAGTGGAATGACGGCAGCACACGCTCTCGTGACTCAGGAGCGTGTCAACAACGACCCTGAAATGACCCCCGAGACTCCTGCGCAAACGGCTCAACTTCTAAAGGTTCTAATACCGCCACATGATAGGACACTTCGAGAGATTCTTCACGTACTTGATCGAGACGGCAACAGCTTGGTACACAACATTGCCGTCAGAGGACTCGACGAGTTGCTGCAGTATGTGCTAGGTCTTGAAGAGCAATCGAGGAGACGTTCCATGGTCAATGCTTGTAGTAGAAATCCCAAGGGGCATTCCGTAAGCGTGCTCGCAGCAGTCCTGGCCAAAATCGAGGATACCATCGCCTCGATTAAAGTAACGCATGTCACAGGAGACAGCCGAGTGAAGACCAACCTCGTTGAAAAGAGTCATCGTCTTACCAAGATCAAACATATCCTCCTCCGAGAAGGTGCAGAGGTACACCCAACCATCACCACCCGATGGCAAATATGCTGGCCATCATGAATATAAACCAAAATGACCCATGTCATGGCAATTCCCAGTCAGCAAAGGTTAATTTGACACCCAAAAGACTTAGCGGTAATCCTGCACGCTATACCACGATGTATATCATCCCGTCTGTTCACCTGCACATATTTACGCCACTTGCCATCTATCCAAGGGCTCCAAAGGCTTCACAAAATCTAGCGAGCGAGTCCAGTCTGTCATCATTTGAAGATACCAAAACAGTCTTTTGTTTTATGCTACTGTCCGCAGTCATTATTATTCGACGATTTTCACGACGATACCCACATTCTTGTTATATAACCTCGTACTGCAGGTTTCTTTCCTCTTATACCTTATTTTTTATTTCTGCACTTTTTCTATCTTCGTTTTCCACTTCGTTATCATTTCATCTTCATTTTCGTTTTCATATTGACATTTTCAGATACCCTTTGTTTCATTTCCACTTTTTTCGTTTTTATATTTTTCTTAGGGATGGCATTTTTCTTTCTTCTGAGCACTCGAGTCCTATCTATACCATTTGATGGGAGTTTCTCTTTTCCTTTGTTTTTCTTTCTTTCCTTTCCTTTTTTAAAAAAATTATTTACTCTCTTGTTCCCTTGAATTGATATGCATTTATGAATGGAGGATCATCTGTCTTACGTCTGGTTACCTTCTTGCTCTTCTGCTTTCTCTTTTTCAGTCATTGAAATGAAGGATGGAAGGAAAGAATGGATAGGATCAAAAGCGTGTGCTATTAATTTAGATATGTATTTGTACCTTGGAGCTTCATGGGGTGTATATATATGGCGGTGGAGACAAGGGGGTTGTGTGGAGGATGTAAGATGGTTGGTGGATTCATGAATTGGATATCGGGGAGGGAAAAGGATTAGCTGGGATAGGAAGGAAGAAATATTCTTACAAATTATTGCCATCTTTCTTCTGTGTGTTGATACTTATCGCTCTTTCTCCGCGAGACTTCGCAAGCCGCTGGTGTGTATCGACCTTTATATTGTTGACTCGACGTGGTGTGATTGGTAAAAAGTACCCCGACCATATCCTCTCTTCTCGGGCCCTCGTCTTCATACTGCAAACATCTCGAATCTCTATGCCTGTTATTTGTCAAGTTGATGTTGTTTACTAATATCCAGGTACGGCACGACTAGACAACTCACCAACTTTGGCTGGCGCAGCCACACACCACACCAACGAAACCTGGATTCGTCACGTTAATGGGGTGTTCTTGGGATTCCCGGAGGTCGTTTTACAGTCCACTGATACGGGAAGGGGGAATGACGTAGGTACTTGAATATTTGTATTTGGATGTTTGGTTTCCTGGGGGAGAGTTGATGGTGTGAGTTGATGATGTGAGGTGATGGTACTGAGGAGGTACTGTACGAGTAAGATAATGAGTATGGTTGTTATTGTACTTTGATGGTGAAGACGGGTTGTGGAGGTTTGAAGGTGTAGAGAAGGGTATCTGTACCTGGAATTCCTGCTTCTGGGTTGTACCAGGTTGACCTACCAGTAGTTTTCGGCCATCCTGTCCTATCCCGTTTGCTACCTCGATCCCTCTCCATGGATATCCTAGATAGGATTGATTTTGATCAATCTGGCTTCCGGGTAGGTCATGGAGGCCCGTCCAGGATACTCGTATCAACTGTGGCATCAAGGGTTTTCTGAGCGTGGCTGAAATACCACGGCAGGGAGTTTGCTTGTCCATCTCGATCTGAAGGGTCTGTGGAAGTTTGATGGCTTGTGACACAGAGCGCTCTGATTGGCTGAGCAGTTTATGGTTCCCGTTTCTGGCTTAGCGTAGGAACGACCAAAAAGGTAGACTACTCTATGACGTCGGTTCGCGGAGCATAGCTCATCAACAAACCTCTCCCCCTTCAGCTCTTCCGACAACACAACACAACCCCAACTCCTCTCTACCACGACGTCGAGATATCTACGAAGACCTTGAAATAATCCCACGATCGCGAACGAGGACCAAGAAAGGATTCTATACCGGTGAAACTACAGATACCAACCATGCATCGCACGTATTCTATGCGACAGTCGCGGGCTCCTACTGTTTGTTGCCCCCCTCTGCGCGGATGAGACGAGATGGTATCGCATGCTGACTTGAACTCGTAGGCCTCGCAACTTCAAAATCCGCCTCCGCCGGCATCTAGCACGAAATCGGGAAGACTCTTTGGTAAAGGCGGGATTGGTTAGTGCTTCTTTCATACGATGTGTCGATTTAGGATGTTTTCGCCTCCAGCGAACGAATCCCGATTCGCAGGATATTGGCCAAGTGGCTTTGGGACCTCAGGTTTACAAAAACGATTGTGGATTTGCTTGCGGTTATGTTCTGCTTGTTTGCTACGTTTGGCGGGCTTGCGCACTGCCCGGCAACACCGGTTGCACACCAAACCTACAGCCGCCGTGGAGATATATCTGACTTGGTTGGAGCTTTGATTTGTCCGTATGCTAACGTTTCTATGCAGGCCATGCTCTTCGCAAAAATGCCGCCGGTCAATTCGGTCCTGATCTCGCAAAGAAGCTTACCCAGCTTGTGAAGATGGAAAAGAATGTCATGCGCAGTATGGAATTAGTCGGACGAGAGCGTATGGAAGTTGCTGTGAGTTGTTTAGTTTGCTATGCATGATCAAAAGCTGACAGCCTCAAGCAACAACTCTCAATATGGGGTGAGGCATGCGATGATGATGTTTCCGATGTCACAGATAAACTTGGTGTCTTGCTTTACGAGATTGGTGAGCTCGAGGATCAGTATGTTGATCGTTACGATCAATATCGTGTTACTATCAAGAGCATTCGAAATATCGAAGCTTCAGTTCAGCCCAGCAGAGACCGTGAGTTTAACCCGCTCGTTCGGAAGAAAATCAATTGATCTTCGATATAGGAAAGGCAAAAATCACCGACCAGATCGCCCAACTCAAGTACAAAGAACCCAACTCCCCCAAGATTGTCGTCCTGGAGCAAGAGCTCGTCCGTGCAGAGGCCGAGTCCCTCGTGGCTGAGGCTCAGCTCTCAAACATCACACGTGAAAAGCTAAAGGCAGCCTACACCTACCAATTCGACGCTCTTCGTGAGCACTGCGAAAAACTCGCCATCATCGCCGGCTACGGAAAACACTTACTCGAATTGGTGGATGATACCCCCGTCACACCGGGAGAGACCCGTGCCGCATACGACGGATACGAGGCCTCTAAAGCTATCATCCAGGACTGCGAGGACGCGCTTACGAATTGGGTTACCGCCAACGCGGCGGTTTCATCCAAACTTTCGGTCCGTGCGCGAACGCTCTCCCAACGTCGACGGGCGCAGAGGAATGGCGAGGGCCATGATTTGTCCGGTCAGGATCAGCCGTTGAATGATCGCGAGAGTGGCCTTTGGGTCCCGGCTAGTCCGCATAAGGGCGATGAGTATGAGGATGAGTTGGAAGATGAGGAGGAGGAGGTCGGTGCTAGTAGTATCAATGAGAGCACTGTTAACGGGGAGACGAGGGGTCGTCAGGAGACTCTTGCTGCTTGAAGTTGCGGCACCTGAAGCTATGGCGCTTGAACCTGTGGATGGGATGATGGGGGTGTGATGGGGGAGATGGTACTGTACTGATAGTTGGACTTTAGGGATGGATAAGTGGTGGGAGTGGTAATGAACAGACACAGACTCAGGAGAGTAAAATGGATTCGGTCGTTTTTTTTTTCATAGGGGGTGTTTTGGGGTTGGGAGGATGGAATGGAATGGAATGGACTGGATGGATGGATGGGAAGGTGGGAAGGAGTTGTATACGTCTTTTTGGGGGGATATTATGGGGTTTTCTTAGCTTTTTTTTTTATACTTTTGTCTTGTTTTATCGATGGTTTCTTTTTTCTCTTTAAGTGTCGTTTGTTTGTAATTTGTGAGTGTGAGTGTAGGGGGAAGGGGGTTGTTTCTTAGGTTGGTAGGTAAGGTTAGTAGTGAGGTAGTGAGTGTGAGGTAGTGAGGTAGTGAGTGTGAAGTAGTGAGGTAGCGAGTGTGAGGTAATGAGGTAGTGAGTGTGAGGTAGTGAGGTAGTGAGTGTGAGGTAGTGAGGTAGTGAGTAATATATTATATGAATGAAGGAATGGATAGGGGTTTTGCCTTACTTATAGAGATGTTTTTAATTTCTTTTTTCCTTTTTTTTTTTTTTTTTTAAAAAAAAAAAAGGAGGGAAAGAGGGGGGAGGAGGGTGCTTAGTGTGATTGGCTTTTAAAGAGAGAGGTTACGGGTCTACAAGAGGTCCGAAGGTACTAAAGTAAGAAATTTCGAAGGGGGTAAGTATAGTTAATTCAGGTTACGGGGATGAGATAAAACCCTTTAAATCAGTTAACATTATAGCAGGGGGTCAGGTACTGTAAGTAATAACTAAGTCGCGTAGAAATAGTCTTAAACTTTATCAGGGTTCGATTTCGAGGAGAAAGAGGAGAGATAAGTATTTTATAAAATTAGGATTTTTAGGGTCTTACGACACGAGTACTCTGTTTGGCACTAGTAGATTCTATAGAAGGCGTTAGTTCTATTCTGGACCCTTCTAGGTAGATGGATAGCTCTTATATTAGAGCTATACCGCTCGCCCTTAGCTAGCTTTTTTCCTTATTCTACTTTTTTATAGCTTATTCTAATAGTCTCCTGTTTTGTCCCTGACATAGGGGGTAAGTAAGTAAGGGTAGGAGAGTAAGAGAAAGGGGGAAGAGGGGAGGGGAGGTTAATTCCTTGCTTAATAAGTTCTTGTACTACTAAAGTTGTTACTTCTTCACTTCACTTCTTCACTTCTTCACTTCTTTACTTTATTACATTTCAATTTTTATTTCTTCACTTCTCTACTTCCTTCTTCACTTTTTCCTTTTCTATTTCTCCACTCCTTCACTCCTTACCTTATTACTTTACTATAACTCACTCTACTATATTTCACTTCTTATCTTGTCACTTAGACATATCTCACTTCTTTTATTTATTACTTTACTATATTTCGAATTCCTTACTTTATCACTCCCCTACTCCTCCACTTCCCTACTTCCTCACTTCCTTATATATCTCTTTACTTCCTCACTTCCTCATACCCATCTCCCAAGTCCCTAATATACTATAACCTACGCTACAACCCAACATCCTACCTAGAAAGCAACCCCACAGACAAGGACAAAAACAAAAGAACCACTTGATCAACAACATAAGTATTCAACTCCCTATACAATATCTACAAAGTATCTCTTTCTCTACCCTCTCTACCCATCAATCCAATCCCTACACACCATACCCACCATCTCCATCTCCACCACCTCTACCTCTCCCCATCTCCCCACTCCCCTCTAAAACAAAAAACCCCCCACCCGCACCAAACACACAAACCCAACACCAACCAAACCACGCTATGCAAATGCACCCATCCATACCATAAAATTCAAACCACACGTCCCATGACGCCAAAGCTCAAGAGTAAATAAACCAGGAAAACAAAATCCATGCTTCAAAAGGTTCGAGAAGAGAAAAAGAAATCCGGTCCAATCAATTCGACTATTCCTGTCCTTCAAGACTCTTCTTCTGCTCTCTTGGTGGTGGTTTCGTCTCCGGCTGCCACTGATGCCAAGAATTGGGCGCATAGAGGATATAACGATCCATAGCCTCTCGGAAGCGACTTTTGTATTCCTACACAGGTTCAAATTAGCCTTCTGATACAAATTCCCTGTCCCATGGCCCCTTGAGAAAACATACCTTGGGACTAGTAACAGTCGGACGATTCCTCCCACCCCCCGCAAATCCCCGATCCTTAATCCAACTCTCCAACTTCTTATCCCAAGTATAAGTTCGCACTACATCGATAATGCCTACCACAAGCTCCTTCCTAGCCTCATCAATAGCAACCATTAGGGAGTAATCCATGACGTCGTTTCGTTGCAGGAACAGAGTGTCATTGAAAATCGCCGCTTTGAGGAGTTTCTTGCTATGCTATAACATCACAGACAAGGTTAGTTGGGTACTGGGAAATTGGGAACGATGGATGTGGAAGGGAGAAAGCACATACCTCCCGTGCAAAAAGCGGAGACTCATAAATAAACTCCACCATGTTCTCATCAAGCAGAACCTCATTTTGCTCCCCGGTACTCTGAATTTTCCGATTGCGCATCGAACCCTTAAGATCAAAGATCCTCGTAAGGGAGCGATCATAAAACAGATTCTCCATAACAAGAACATCCCATTTGATCTCTGTTCCCGTAACCGGGTTCTTAATAATAATCGTGTAAAAGCCCAGCATCTTCGCAATCACAGTCGGAAGATCATGGAACAGAGCCTCAGCCATGATCCCAAAATAAGCAGGTGCAAATTTGAGGAAGGCTTCCTTTTCGATAGGGGAGAGTGACTTGACTACCAGACGATCGTCTAATGTCTTCAAGAAGACCGATTTCGTTTTGCCACCTTTGGAATCCCATTTGAGACATCGCGATAAAGACTCAACAATTCGATCCGAGACACCACATTTTCTTCTAACGGCATCAAATTGCTCAGCGTAGAAGATCTTGCATTTCATACTGGCAGATCCATCCGAGAAGGAGAATCCCAGATGTGTCCCGGTTGAGCGAAGCAGCGAAGTTTCGACCTCCGCTTGATCTACGCCGTCATCACACAAGTCAGGTGTGCCTGAGTCGGATGATGGAGGATGCTCATGTTTGCTAGCTTCGCCACGGGCGCGGATCTCTTCTAGATTCAATTTGTAGGCCTGTGATTGTAAAGTAAATGCTATGAGGGAGCTAGGCTCGTCCTCTCTGATAATAACATCCTGGTCCGTGAAGATGTGATCACTGGCACTGATGGGGTAGTCTAAAGGTGTCCAACCACTTGCTGATCTTTCGGCCCAAAAGTTGGTTAGCATCTGCATCAAACTCTTTTTCTCGTGTTTGGGAATATCCAGGCTGATGTCCGAAGGCCTCAAAGAATTGGTTATTATTTCATCAGCCCCAGGAATAAGGTCTTCCAACAGGGAGTGATCTGCGTCACTTATGGTTCCTTCATCATCGGAATTCACCTGACTTGCTGTTGGCTGATTATCATCAGTCTCCGCTTCCGTCGCAGTCTCATCCGCGGTGGCAGCAGTGCCAGTTGGGGAATGGGGTGCTGTTTCCCCACTGGCAGACTTCGTATTAAGGTCAGCAAGACCATCGATCACGGAAGGCATTTCAGACACGGGCTGTGTTGGCGGTACTGCAGCATGATCTTCCTCGCTTGGACCACGCTCTTCAACTGCTTCATTCACATCCTTATACACCTCAACGATGGGCTTAGATGATGCCTTAGGGAGCGCTCTGGATTGAGAAGCTTTGGCAGCGCGTTGTCTTTTGTCTTTCTGTCGCTCTCTCTCAAACTCACGACTCAGTTGCTCAAAATGCTTGGCTAAAGTTGAGACTTTGGAATCTGATTTCCGCTTCCCATGAACGGACCTAGGAATCAACGAGTGCCCTTTTCTGCTTTTATTGATGGTACCCAGTCCCAGCCTCGCAGAAAATATCTTGTCTGTCGCTTTCATAGGCTCGGTTGCCGAGGTCCTCAGGCTCTCGAGAGGCGCCGAAGGTTCGTCTGATTTCTTGTTTTCAGTCCTCGATCCTTTACTATTCGCGGTCGATCGGCGTGTTGCCACAACCGGCTGAGACCGGGTTCTATTCATCGGAGGAGAGTTAGCTGAGATACTCTTCCTTGTGCCTTCGCCGCGCTCGGATCGGCGAGGTATGCTAGAATTTTCTGGTTGAGAACTTTGTCCACCAGAATTCGTATGGTTCAGTTTTCGAATAGATTCCACCCGTTGAATCAGCCCCGCTGAACCGGCAGATACTGAAGCTTGGCGTGAACGAGGCAGTTCACTTTCAGATAGAGTTATGGGGGTAAAAGTCCCAGGCGAAGAAGGAATTTCGGCAGAAGGAGATTGGACATCACCATCTTCTTCTGGTATGGCAAGATCCAAGGGCTCAATGCCCTCATCATCAATGATCAAGTCTTGTTCGGTGCCAGAATTTGGAAGGGGTGTTTCTGGTACTGGTTGCGGCTCTGGAGGATCTGTAGCCGTTGATGATATCTTTTCTTCTTCGACAACCGCTGAAAGTGCCGCTTGAGCAGCTTCCGTTGATACATTGGAAGTCTGAGGAGTAAGTTCAACTGAATCAGACGGTGATTTCTCATCTATGCTGGAGATCTTCTCGTTAGTACCCGCAGACACTACTGATGTTGTCGACTCATTGTTGTCTATAAACATTTTTTTAAGTTGAAGAGCAGCCAGTCTCCTAATATCCTTTTCCGACGGGAAAAAGTCCGCATCGAAATTGGCGAAAGCGCTATCCCACTCTGCCACTTTCTCTTGCATAGATCTTATGGCTCTGTTCAATGGAATTATTTCATAGTACTTCGAGTTCATGTATTGCTCTCGAAGTTTTCGAATGAGAGCCCCATGGTCCTCTTGAGCTCGCTTTGCGAGAGTCTCTACCTGTGTCTTGCAAGCTTCCACTTTCTCCGGTGCAACACTGTCGATGTTTATGCCTTTAATTCTGGAGTGGACTGATGTCATAAATCGGTTCCATCTCTCCTCTGCCTTGGTGAACATATCGTTTTTCAACCTCAAATCGTTATCCACCTTCCATGTGACACGTGTCCGAGGAACAACAATTTCGAGGACATCAATTGGATCGTAGTGTATCCGAACCGCGACATTCTGATATCCGAAATATCGGAGGTGATCCCGGTGGATATCATGTGAGCAATGACCGGCTCGTAAACGCAACTCACTGCTCCAGAAGGAAAGCTCAAGATATTTGCCCAAAGAGTACTTCCAAGTACTCTCTGACATGGGCATAACTGGGGTTTCTTTCTGACAAACCTTGCAATAACTCCACATCAGGATAGAGCCTTGATGACCCTTCAATTTACATGGCGACTTTTCAACAAAGACGGTAATGCGTGCCTCGCCATGAACGTAAGTTCTGTGGTGTTCTGACATCTTTCGGTCACATCCATTAGCTGTACAGACAGTGTTGATGCTCCTGCAGAGATCCTCCACATAACTGCCAAGTGTGCAGTCAGGGTCGAATTCGTCTCGTGGCAAGTCAAATTCCTTGTAAAATACCAAAGACAGCAGTTCGGGCCCAGCGCAGGGAATGGTGGTCGCAGTACAAACCAGCGTGTGCAAAACGGTGATGTTCTGGTGCGCGTAAGGTTCGTAAAGGTCAAGGTTGCCTTGGATATAATTCTCGAATTGTCGTCTTTGCGTCTGGTAAATGTGCAAAGCTTTGTCATACTCGGCATCATGAACAGCATGGAGAACTTCCATTATCTGCCTCGGGGCTCTTTTGACGGTTTCGTGGACCATTTCAGGCTTGATAAGCTGGAACTTCTGGGGTTTGGACTTTTCGTTCTCGGTCTGCTCTTCGAACGTATCCTTATCTCGAAGCTTTTTCAATAATGCCAGCCGTCTTTCTTGTTCTCGAGACTTCATCAGCAAGTAAGGTTGCACAAACTTGACAAACGGCGATATGGAAAGAATCTTAGTTTGGTGTTTGTCAACAATGTCGCTGTAGAACGTCGCGTTATTAATGTCTTCTTGTATTTGATCCTCGTGAGGACCATGGACATGCGACTCATGAGCCGACACGAACTTTGGTCTTGGAGCATTTTGGTCAAACTTCTCGCTATTTGACAATTGTGAAATATCCCCATTGCTGGTTTCAACACTCGAGGGCTGTGATGAGCGGCTTGGATCCTTGCTTGCTTCGTCAACATTCTTGTCATTTTCCGGTAACGTGTCATTTCCAGCGTCAGCTACCGCTTGCAATTTGTCCGTCGCAGCGGTCACAGTGTCGCCCTGGGGGCCATTGGAAGTGCTAGCTGTATTGGCTCCCCGAGATGTGTGATGTAATGTTGGGGAAATGTTACCACTATTTTCAGCCACAGATGGGATCTGAACAAATTCATCTCGCATCAGACAAGTTTCTAGTTTGAGGTTGTAGACGACGTAAACCATGAATTCGGTGATTTGTTTCATCTTAGTTAGAACAGGAATGCTGGCCCCGCGCAAGACAATGGTACACCCAAGATCTTTAGGACAACCCGAAAGGTAGATATAAGTCTTCTTTCTATTTGGTATGTCCCTATGAACGAAAGTCTTGACGTCAAATCCCGAGCATTTGCCTAGATGAGGAGGCCGCAATGTAACCATGTCAATAGAGTTGATGACTTCAGTTTGGGCACATCGGGAAACGGCTTCAATAACCGATTGCTTCACATTGTAGGCCACGGCAATGTTAGCTTCGGCCAAGTACTGAAGCGCGAGACCTGAGACTTGTTTCTGGACCAAAACAAGCTGTGGCCGCAGCGAAGCAATTCTGTTGACCATATTCTTTAGGAACTCCTTTTCCTGGGCAATGACAGGTTCGAGGCTCATGAAATGGTGCTGTTCGTGCCGTTGATATTCAATGGGAAATGACACAACCACAATTCGTGGATTAGATATAGTCCGAGGCATGCTCTTGAGTGCCAAGTTCTTTGTGAAAACGACTCCAGACACATAGGACGTGTCGCCAGGTTTACCACCTGGGATCTTCTTGACCTTGACGAAATGTCGAATATCCATATCTTCGTCTTGTCGTACATTGGGGTTCACGTCGTCAGTACACTGGAGAAGGATAGGAACCAAAGCCTTTTCCCAAGAAGCAACATTTGGGATCTTATTGTCTTCCAAGAGTTGAAGCAATAGTCGCCGCACATGGTGCAGACTAGCATCATTCAACTCCATAGCCGGCGCTTTAGCATCTCTCATAGAAGCACTTCTCGTGATACCGGCTGGCATTAGTGTTGCATTTGTTGATGCATTCTCAATACCCATCATCTCTTCATCCAGATTGCCGAAGCCTGGAAGGATGGATCGTGGAGAGGAACGTGGGTGCAAGTGGTTACTAGCGGTACTGAGATTTCGTCGTCTATTTGGCCGAGAGTATCCCCCAATTGAAGGAGTTACCGCCGGTTCGTCCATGCCACGGCTGGTGAAGCTGATACCACTGACACTCTTCTCTGTCGTCCGTGCTCTGTGTCTCTTGCTTGCGCTCATTAGCGAGCCAAAGCCAGAACGGTCATTTTCAAAGCTCGGAGTAACCATTGCTCCGCTATTCATGGTTGCAAAGATGCTCATCTGTTCGTCTGCACTAGACCCTTCATCAGACATGTATGGAGCCAGGTCTGGATCGATAATATTGTCATCGTGGAATGCTGGAAGCCGTGATTTCTTGTCCTCTGTAACCCCGCGGTGAAAGGGTGCTCTTTCCTCAACAGTAGCTTTGAAGCGACCGAGAAAATTATGTTTAGATTGATGCCTTCTATGACTGGAAGACGGTGGTCGACCAGGAACAGAGCCAGGTTTCAAGGATCTTGATGAACCTGGCCTAGGAAGTTGAGGAGAATCGATTTCCAGAACAGCTGAACGTCGGTTGGCGGAGTCTCCTATTCTCCTTGTTGCCGGGATGGCCATCATCGGAGTGGGCAAAGGTTTGCCTGTGAGATCTTGAGTTGGCCGTCGCTCTTCCTGAGCATGATCAGTATTCTCAGCTTCAGCTTTCGTACTTGCATCAAACTTTGCTTGCTGCGAATGGAAGAATCTTGGAAGAGACGTCTCATCCGCAGATTCATCTGATCCACTGCTATCATGGCGTCGGTTGATGATATCAAGACATTTTATGCATACTCTCAGGGAGCCATGGACCCCAAAACGTTCCCCGGATATTATAGAGGTGCATTTCGAATCGAATATGCACCCACAGGTCCGACAATGATGCTTTCTTCGAAAGGCTGAAAATGCATCACCACAGTGCCAACATTCGCTACAAATGTCATCCTTCATCCAGAATTCTTTGCTCCGTACCTGCTTTCTCATTTGCTCCAATCGCGCGCTGACGGCTTCGGGCGCGCCCTCATTAATTGTCGTTCCAGGAATACGATGCGAACCGGAATACGTTCGCGATCCGTCCTCAACATCAAGATAGCCAACTGAAAACGACCCATGACGAACATTATTATGCGCGGAGGTATGTACAGGATTCGCCTCTGCCGTGCTACGGTCAGTGGATGTAGCTCTTGATGCTTGATAGCCAGCCAAATAAGACTGCGTGATACGCTCAAGAGCAGCCGGTCGTTTTGATCCTTCAGTGATACCGCCTCGTCTCTGGGAGACATTAGCACGAGATGAGTCTGTGGCTTGGAGAGAAGAAAGGGCAGTGGATGCGCTTTTTGACCCATCCGTGGGTACCCGCCGAGATTCTATAGATCCGTCTGCTCCTAGAGCTTCCTGTATGAGCTGTGGAGTTGTCCCGGATCTCCCGTCATCTGTTCTATCATCGTCCGTAATCTCAGACTCACCCACCAAGATCTCGTCTTCTATAGCCAGACTCCCATGTCGCGAATCTCCAAAGGCAAACCCGGTCTGGTTTTCATATGGACCTGGGGTGCTGGCCGAGGAATTCGCTTCAGATTTGTGAGACTCTGTTCTCTGGCTCTCGCTGTCCTTGAAAGCGTTTACCGTTGCAACTGTGGGGGTGGCTACCGCTGAGGCAGTTGCTTTAGTCAAAGGTGCGATAGAAGGCCTGTCTGAGGGCGTTGATTTTGAGGTAGCAGAGGTGGAGACCAATGATGTTTTGGATGATTTCGTAGCCTGGGATTGGCTTTCAGAAGATGGAGCCACAAAGGACAAGGCAGTTGTTGGAGAATGAACCTGGGATGAAGATGTTGAGAAAGGGACAGGGGATATAGTCAAAGCACTATCTTCTCTAGCTGGTGCCATGGAGCCCTTGGAGGTGGGAGTTGCGCTAGTTTGACTTTTGACGGAAGCAACTTCAACTCCATCCTCTACCTTGTTTGATGTAGAACTAGTCTTTTCCTTTACAGCACCTACAGCTCCACGAAATCGACTGTATAGGCCACTGAGCCCATTATGCATGATATCCCCCGTGATTCCTTTGCTCTCAGTGCTTGTAGATGGGAGAGGTGGTGCAGCGAACTCATTGAATGTCGTAAGTGTCTCTGACTGGCATGCTGTGCTATGTATTTTATCCAGCGCCTGAGCGAGTTGTTCTCTATCAACTGCAGTGGATCCAGTGGTTGAAGCTAGGGAACCGCGACGGGATACCAGGCCCAGAGGCATGAAGGACGGAGCCGAGGGGAAATCGTTGTTGGCCGACATAGTCACACCTTCTCTGCCAGCAGTCACCTGTATATATCAGAGGAGAGGTGTAAGGAGGATGTTGACTTGTCGGTTGGAGTGGGATCAGGTTGGAAATGCGGTGCCGCGAAGACGGCGTGCGTTACGGAGGAACATGTCATGAAAACATGAAACTGGTGTCTGCGAATTGAGGGATTTGCCTGTAGTCTGGTTTTGATTAGCTATTACTTCACCAAATAGCGCCCTTTTTGCCAACACCAGATAGTAGGTAGGCCTAACTTGTACCTACTCGAGGTATTTGTAGATGTCACTCTTGATGCGATCGGTACAAGGTCGGTACTCATGTACAGTCAAGGGTTGGCAGAAGCATAGACCGAAACACTTGGGTCTTTGGAAGCACTGCCATTTATGAATCCTTTCTTAGCGAGTTCCACGAAGTAGTGACCTCAGTGTTTGTGGGTGTATGAGTGGATGAGCAAATAGCTATGTCTAAGTGGGTAGTGCCAGGGGAGGAAGTGAATGTATTGTGGTGATGTGTGATGTGTGATGTGTGATGTGGTGCTGTGGTGCTGTGCGATGCAGAGTGACTCAGATGTCGCTCGTCACTCGTCACATCGGAGCGGTAGCTGCTATTAATCAGCCGGGAGCCAACATGGACATGGCCTGGTAGAGAGGGCAATTTGGCTGTGGCAGGGAGGTTGAGGATTACGTGGGCAAGGAGAGCGATTCGACAGGAAGTCGGGTGGTGAGGCGGGGAGGGGGAGGTCTTTACGGTACGAGTACTCGAGTAGACCTCACTTGAAATGCCCTGCCCGCCTTGGGTTCCCAGTGGAGGTACTCGATACTCGTACTCAGCGACCGCGGCAGGCAGTCTCCGATATGGCCCCGAGGCTCCGAGACATGTGCCGTCATCGTCAATTCTGGAGAGTTCTCATTGGCTGATTGGCACCTAATTTGAGCTGTCTGAGCTGTCTGAGCTTCCATCTCGATTCTCGAGAAGTTTCGGCCTGAAGTGAAAGCGGGCAGCAGCAGCAGCAGCGACCAAGGAACGGCGTATCACGTCACGTGCACGTAACACGCGTGACCGCGCGCCTCGCTGCGACCCGACGGATTTTTTTCTTGAGAGAACCTGGACGTGACGTGATACCAGTACCTAGGTACCTACCTACAGAACAAGGAGTGGCAGATTACGTGTGGCTAGATCGCCCATTGCCCACAACTCTGTTGATCCGACTTTTGCTTCTTCGCATTGATTCATTAATCATTACCGTTCACTCCGGCTTCCCCGTGTCTCTTGTACGAAATAATAAACTTATGTACTCGGCCGGACGCGACTGAAATTCCGGAATTCCCTGTACTCGTACCCCTTACTTCCCGCCTAGTCTGCTTACAACATGGCCACTCCATTTAAGGAGCCCTGGCTCCTATCTGCCGTGCAAGAATTCTTACTCGAGGCTACCGATAGCACGACTGAAAAATTGCTCAAGCTACCCGAAGGAAAACATGCGCTGCAAGTAACTGAGGTGAGATTTCCAATCGCCACCCATGCCTCCAGTATATTAACACATTATCAGATCCAATCCAGGCCGAGGAGGGGGAACATTTATGTGACCGTCTCGGACACGCGTCACTCCATTCTAGCCCAAGTTCACGCTGTCGGTAAAGAGCCTACCAAGGGTGTTATCATATCGGCCTCGGAATTTTCAATAGTAAGAGAGAATCGTAGTTTGGTACTAAGTCAAATGTTGACTTCTCTTTAGAGATACAACAAAAAGAAGAAACAGCTGCTTCTGACGATAGAAAAGTTTTACGTGGAATCTGATGGATTACTCACGGTCCCAAGTTCTGCAAGCATTATGGAACAGGATAGCATAGTCCCGCTGTTGGATAGGCTGACAAGTGAGCTCCCGTATTCAACAAGTTCGGGATCCTCTTCACCTATATCTTGTCAATCGTTTGACAGTCAGATGAGCCAACCTGGAACACCACAATTTGCGACGCAACTTCCTGTCTCTCCAACGCGAAAGGGACATCTCATAAGTGAAAACACAACCAAGAACCTTTTGGCTGCCCTAACTAAGGAGCAACCCCAAGTGCGCACAGATACGAAAGTCGTGGAAAGCTCTCAGATTGAGGAAATTCCAAGTGCTCAGATACCCATATTTTCGAATCAGTCAGTAGAGTCTGGAGAGCAGCAGGTTGCAGCTACTGCCACTGTTGATAAGACGCATCCCATCCCGGATGTTAGCTCCGAAAAAGAGAACAGCCGAGAGGTACCCGGCGAATCAAAAGCCCCTATCTCTGACGATCCAACCAATAAATCAAAGCAGACACACTACTCCGTTGAAGAAAAGAAACCCAAGGATACTATAGGGTTTTCTGACGTCAGTAATCCCTTTGAAGGAATGTCGAAAATTCCGAGAAAGTGGTTGAGAATACCCAAAGATCAACAGGCGATACTAGATGGTAAAGACGCCTGGTATGACCTTTTAGACAATTCGCGTCCCCCTTATGCTTTAATCCCTCTAGAGCTTCGAAATAAATTGATTGCTCGAATCTCAAATGAAAAAGGATCTGCCCAGGAGCGCACAAAAAATGGCGAACCAGAAGCTTCAAATCTATCTGTGACAAACGCTTCATCGCAGCATGAAGAAGAAGAAGACTGGAGTCCAAGCCCAGAAACTCACAAAACGGATACATTAAAGAGCATCGCCAAAGTCCCCCAGCCAAACTTCCAACAAGGAAATACCGACCAAGATGAACAAGGAGGAGCCCATCCACCTCATTCAGGCAGTGACGGAAATTACGATGGAGTGTAGGTTTGGTATCAGAAAAGGATTTGAACATGGGCTAATATACAATAGAAACAGTGGTTACGGGTTTGATGATAACCTATCCACTGACCAAAGCACAGCACAATCACCCATAGACGACGAAGTTCCAAACCCCCGGTCTTTAACAACAACTCGGTCTACTCGGGTTGATCTTGACTTCCCTAGTAGTTATGGGATAGAAGAAGAGCTACCGTTATCTTCTCTGCGGGCTGAAGGTGAAGTGGTTGAAGACGAGGTTGAGAGTGAGCCTGAAGACGAAGATATTGAAGAGAAAAACGACAAAGCTGCGCAATCTCCAGAAACTTCCCAAGAAATGCATTCAACGGCTCTGAACAGATCAAGACAGGTGCAAGTTGAAAAGTCACCTCTGGACAAAAAAGCCCAACGCAAGGGAAACGAACTGGCGTCGTCCTCTGGTAGCAGGATTCCAGCTACTGTGAACATGGAATTAACCAAGACAGATGATTATGAAGTTTGCAAATCTAGTGCTCCAAAATCAAGTGTCGATATTCCTGCTTTCCAAGACGAGACTGGAGGAATGCTTAGTGATCAGGAGGATTTTGATTCCGAAGATGATCAATACGCATCAGCCGAAGAGAATGCAAATTCACCGCTTGCAAGAAAACTGATGAGAAGCTCCCCTCCGCTCCCTCATTCCGCACGAATCCAATCTTCCTCAGCGGTTCCGATCACCTCGCGCGGTAGTGTCTATAACACACCATCCCGCCATACGGTGCAACAGAGCTCGCCCTCCCACCACATAACAAACTCGAACGGAGTACGGAAGGTTTCGCAAGTGTCTCCTGGATGCGCGGAAATTCAGGCGTCCGATATTCTGAGCTCACCTTCGCTTCCCTCTGCATCACGACGTGCCCCCACGCCAAAAGTAAATAAAGCGTCTACAACAATGACGCTTTCCAATCAGAAACTGCGCCTGGTCGCTCAAATTCAACAAGAGGAATCGTCCATCAAAGACACAAAGGAAATGGCGAGAGCCTTGAGACATGCAACGCTTGCTACCATTATACCACAAACTTTACCTCAATCCTCCGCCATGGTTGATCACAGATCCAATGCCAGTCACGTTGATCATCCGCTAGAAGATTCGGAAGAAGACGAAGTGATTGTTAACGAGACGACGCTAGACCAGAGACTTGCAACCGTTGCTGATATCATACCACAAACTCGACCTCAGGAATTCGGCAATTCGGATCGAGAAGCAGAACATTTCAAATTGTCAAACGATGTTCACGTCCCCAGAAAGCCCGTTTCGTCACAGGCTTCGACCTCTCGTATAGTAAAAAACGACTCTACGATCACGCAGGACTACTATGAACGATTCAAAGCAGCCTATCCTCAATACTGTGCGAGTCGCAGGACCTTTACGTGGGCAGTGGTCTACGTCGAATGGTTACGAGAAGAAAAGCACTCTCTGCTCAAGTCTCTAATCGACTCTTTCATAGTCATCGTGTCTCTGGACTATCTGAAACACGTCGAGGAGCGTCAACGAGCAGGCAAGGTACCGTTGAAGGGATGGCAATTCTTTGATGAAATGGACCCACCAGCACATGAATTTTCACAACGCATCATAGTACCTGAAAATCTGGGTAGTGTTTTGCAGTCACTCGATCAGAAAGTGGTCACAGAATGCAGGAAGCCGTTTCAGTCCAACCTCACACCTTCACAAACTCTGCCACCAAAAGCTTCTGTTGGTGTTGGCAGTCAATTCGCTTCAGCTGTAACCCCAGATCTTGTTGCGGAATCGGATACTCGACGGAAGAGAAAATTTGAGTCGTCAGGTGTGATCCACGAAAATGACCACGAAAGAATGAGTTGGAGTCCCCCAGCGAAGCGACCATCTCCACCTCGTCAAAGAAAAGGTGACCCAGAGGTCTTCGTCACACCAGCTACTCTCAAATCACACCCACAAGCACAAGTTCCTCGCACATCTTCTTTACCACAATCCTTCAAGAAGTCCTCTCCCTCCCTTCTCGCAAAGGCCAAGTCACCATATGCTCCAACCACAACCACAACCAACGGCACGACGAAAACCAGCGAATGGGTAGATAAAATCCCATCAACATACAACCAGGGAAAAGCAACGCCTTCAAGTTCCATCGCCTTGCCAGGCAACGCGCATACCAAAACACTGAAGCGCAAATCTAGTGGTCTCAGTGAAGACCACACACCGGGATCTACCCGGAAGAAAGCCGGCATTTATGATGACATACCCAAGTTATTGGAGATGGTCAAGCGGATTAAGCGGGAGGGAGGCCTGTCTTCGAGGAGCTCTACTCCGAATGCGCGGGGTGTTAGTAGTGCTAACTTGAAGGCGACGCAGGAGGGTCCTGGCGAGGAGGAGGATCCATGGAGTATTTGAATGAGAGGTTAAGCATGAGAGGGGGGTCATGGATATTTCAAGCATCGTTTATGAATGGGGGAGACGCGTGGGACATTTGAACGAGTGAGAGAAGAGGGGAAAGGGGAGGGAGTTTGGTCGTTCTTCTATTTTGCTGGTTAATTGATACCCCTCAGAGTTTTGCTTTGGCTTTTTGTAATTAACTTGCTGATTAATTGATACCCCTCAGATTTTTGCTTTTGCTTTCTGTAATTAACTACTCACGTCTTTCTTTTTACTTTTGCTACTTTTCGGAGGGCATTGCCTCAAGACAAATAGTTGTTAATACACGGGGACTGGCTAGCTAGCAAGTCGAAATATATTCTCATTCATATATAGATAGTCTTGCTATGCGGTTTACTCTTGAATTCTCTGACGAGTCTTTGATTCATATTTTAATTTCGTGACTATCTTCACAGATATCTCCTGGACTGGTTGGTAGGTATGTACTATCCCCACAAGTCCATCCATCCCAATTCCCACTAGGTATACCATCTCTCCCCCCATCTCCCCAACTCCCTCCCAACCCTCACACCCCACCCCAAACCTATCATACACCCCAATCCC